CGCGAGCCCCCGGAGTGCAGACGTCTCCGCGGGCGCCGCTGTGGTCGGCCTAGCTGGGCTGGCGGTGACAAGGCCTGATGCGGGGGCGCCCGTGTCCTGAGGTCGCGCGGGGCTGGGGGTTTGGGGGCAGCCTGTCCCGGCGCCTTCTGTCTTCGAGGCCCGGCCGCGACAGCGTACTGCTCTGCTGCACCGAGCGCTGTGCACTCGGCCTAAAATGTTTTATTGCAAACTCTGTTTCAGGCTTACGCCAAGTTTTCTGGGGCACCCTTGAAAGTCATCGTCATAGATGGCACCTGGAGAGGTTCTAGAGGTACAGTGTGAGCCTTCAGACACCCCTTTCTGCCCTCTTTTACGTTCTTCTCTTTTTCCGTTTAAAGCTACCACTTAATATAGCTAAAGAGTACTTTCAGGTTTAGTTTCTTCCCCGACCTTGGCAGTCTGCTGCTTATGGTTTGATCGTTCTGAGTAACACCTCCGAGTGCCAAATCAGTGGAAAGTATGAGAGGTGAAAGTAGTCTTTAAAACTGCTCCTTGTGAAACTGCAAAAAAACAAAAACTAAGACAAGCTTACTCATTTTGCCCTTCCAGTTGAGCAATTGGTGTAGTTTTTAGTGCGTTGGATACTCTTTAGAGGTAATCACAGTGTTAGCTTGTATGTAGACTGTTTTTTTGTTTTGTTTGTTTGTTTGTTTTTTAATTATAGGCGATGTGCCAATTTTGACAACTGAAGACAACATTGTTTCTCAGCCAGCAAAAATACTAAACTTTTTGAGAAAACAGGTGGGTGGTTCCTTTTAAAGAAGTAAATTGTTGATCCCTGCATGTTTTTATACATATACATATATGTGTATGTATATGTATATATATACATACATTGTAAAGTCTTGAGGGTTTTTTGTTTTCTTGTTCAGAATTCTTTTTTTTTTTTTTTTTTTTGCCATCTTATTAGACAATTGGAGATACTTGGGATTTGGTTTAAAAAATAGTTTTGAGAATCACTACTGTAAAACATGTATTTTACTGTTATTTGAAAGTCGTATGGTAAGTTATAGTCAGTTTATGTTTTCATGCACTTTGCCTGATTTTTATTGAAATTTATCTGTAAGTAGATTCGATTTAGCCATTTTCGCTATTGCACTTATTGATAGGATTGTCAATTTAGTCACACAGTAGCTGCACATTTTGGGCTGGGTATTACCTCCTGTGTTCCTACCAACTGGCCATTGTCTATTTTTAAAAAACATTTATCTGATGGTAGCAGCTTTATGAAATAATGTGTCTAAATGTTTTAACAGAATGCATATAGTGTATCCAAATGTGTAAACATGTAAAGATTTATGTAAATACAAGTTATCATTGGTTTTTGCCAATACTGCACTTTTTCAAAATGTGTCAATAAAATTTGGAATTTTTCTAAATTGGAAAGTTGTTTTTTTTAATGGAGAAAAGCTCAACCAACCAAAACTGTTTCTCTCTTGTTAAAAACGATAGTCTCTTTTACTTATTAACACATTCGCGACCAGCAAATTTTTCTCTTTCCTAATACTGAGAACCGGTGAAAATAAGAAAAATCTGAAGCTGGTTGCTGCAAACTTCTGTCGTTAAGCACAAGTGAAATGGTATTTTCTAAATTGTCACCTTTTTCACAGTATAGCTGAAAGTTGCAAACATATCCAGTATTTGCTTCAAACACCACTCTGACTATCATTCTGTACTTTGTATTTTTATTCGGACTGTAAACAAAAAGACAGTCTTCCATGATGAGATAAATTCACGTCAGTGGCAACCAGAAGCAGAATTTGGAATGACATAAATTCACAGCAACGGCAACCAGGAACGGATTTGGAATGACATAATTTTCACATCAGCGGTCGTGAATGAGTTAAGTTTGTGCTACATGCCATGCACTGAACTAGGTCATTAACAAGCATTGAAACAATAGTAGCTAATAAAAATACATAACTAACATTATCTTTATTGTGTGCATGGTGTTATGCTAAGAACCTTATGTACATTAAGCAGCAGTTTTCACTGGGTTTGTATTTCTCTTTTCCCCCATTTTTAATTTTATGTTTGCCATTTATGAGTATAAATAGGAATTTTAATTTAATTAGCGTCACTGTCTTTGGATGCTCTTTGGCTTCTGAGTTCCTTTGATTTTATATTTTTAATAGAAATATAATGCTGATTATGAACTCTCAGCAAAACAAGGGGCAGATACATTGGCTTACATCGCCCTCCTGGAAGAGAAGCTTCTCCCTGCAGTGGTGCGTGTTCTTAACTATTACAGTGTTTCAGTGACCTAGGTGAAAATGTACCTATTCTATTTAGAAGAAAAGCAATGAAAAGGGCTAAAGAAAAGAAATTTCACTTATATGTTAATCTCAATTCTTTCATATTACTGTGAAACTGGATTCTGTTAAACTTTTAACTAGTATGTGAAACAGCAAAGAGAACAGTAATGTCATTTTGGAAATTCTTTGTGAGAGGTAGATCTTTTTGTTCCATGTATAGAGCTGGGTGAACTCATTCATTTATTCAACAGATATTTATTGAGCACCTGCTATGTGCCAGGTTTTGTTCTGGGTGTTTGGGATATAGCAATCAACAAAACTCACCCCTTTAAAATAATACCATTTTATCTTGAATCATTCTGACTAGAAAACTGTACAGTCACTTTATGCATAGATATTTATGAAAAACTCTTGCATCGATGGAGTAATATTTATTTTTATAAAAGAACATACTTGTAGTATTTTTTTCCTCTCCCTTTGCAGCTTCACACATTCTGGGTTGAGACTGACAATTACTTTACTGTGACAAAGCCATGGTTTGCTTCACGAATTCCTTTTCCCTTGAGTTTGATTCTACCTGGAAGAATGTCTAAGGGAGCATTGAACAGGATTCTCCTGACCAGAGGACAGCCCCCACTCTACCACCTCCGAGAAGTGGAAGCACAGGTATGGTCTGGATCACTTTCCAAGCAAAGGTTCTAGAGGGAAAGAGCAAGAGAGCGGAAAAGAACTGCCCTAGAGATGCCTACCTCAAAAGTCATTTTAGAGCATCTTTCCTGCTTTTTAGATATAATTTCATCCTTATTAGATATACAAAGATGCCAAGGAGTGCCTAAATCTTCTGTCAAACAGATTGGGAACATCTCAGTTTTTCTTTGGAGATACGTGAGTACATTTCCCTTAAAAATAATTTTGATGCTTTCTATATATTTAGTGAGCAATTATTTAAAGCAAGTCCTCTTAGCCCCCCAAAAGATAAATTTTTCATGTAAAAGATTTAATGGGTTTTTTTATAGGAAACTTTTTTACTATCAGTGGTAGTCTAACATTGACTTAATATGCTGCATTTGTGAATTTAAAACATCCAGAATTGCTTCTTCTCTTCCTCTAGTTATTGACATTTGGGAGTAAGAATCTATAATTCTTATCTTCGTTTTTTTCTAAATAAAATGAATTATTAGATTATTAAATAAATTGTTTAATGAGCAAAACTCTAGTTGCATTATATTTGTAAACTAAGTTGTTAGAAAAGGTCAAGTTTACTTTCAAGAGATTACATTATATACTTCAGAATTTACGAATGTATTTGAAAAAAAATTTTAAATGCAATCCCAAGTTCATTTTTTATTATGTGCTTTAAAAATATCCTCAATTTATTTCTAGGCCTTCTACCTTGGATGCCTATGTTTTTGGTTTTCTTGCACCTCTTTATAAAGTACAGTTTCCTAAAATTCAGCTACAAAAACATCTGAAACAGCTTTCTAACCTGTGTCGCTTTTGTGATGACATCCTAAACAGTTATTTTAGGCTTAGTCTTGGAGGTAAGCCAGCTTTCTTCAGCTAATGTTTGTTTGCATAATCTCCCATGGATGTATCAGCAAAATCCATTACCTACTTTAATCTTAAAAGTTTGTGTATTATCTTGAAATACTGGTTTAAGCACTTTAATAAGTTGCATTTTTTCCACCTTCATTTTTGTTCCCATGTGTTAATTTTTATTTAAATGGAGAAATTGATATTTGCCTTTTATCTGTTCCTCTGGATTTTTATCTTTCTTCTTGCCTCTTTGAAGTGGGTCATTTTCTTCTAAAAGACTAAAATCACAGGTATTAAGTCCCAGCTGAAAAATAGTATTTGTCCTAATACAAATGGGCAGTTACCTTAAATGATTCTTACCCAATGCTTCTAGCAATTTCCTACATGAACAGAAATTCAGAGCAGATTGGTTTTGATGAGGTACACTCCATTGATTCCACTCCTTGAAAACTGGTTGCATCATTCTGGCAGTGTAGTAATAGAGGCCACCTGTCACCTAGGACGTACTATGCTGAGAGTGTGGCCTTGTGCTCGTGTTTGGGACACTGTGTTTTTGTTGGAAGATTTGACTGCAGTTGTCCTTTAAGAAACAGAAGCTCTAAAGATAGCTGGCTTAAGTGGACAGTTTTAGTTTCTTTATGGTGGGTTTTGTGTTTTGTACATACAGGTTAGTTTGGGAGTCATAAAATTAACATTCAGCCTTGTTACTTTGGAGCAGTTGTTAGCAAACTTGACTACGTGACATGAAAAATTTTGAGTCTTATTCCAGATTTATTAAATTAGAATCTCTTAGGGATAGATCCCAGGAATCTGTATTGTTTAAGTCCTACATTTGGAGGTTTGGTGGGCAGCTCTGTAGGAGTCACTCCCCCAGAAAGTCATCCAAATAGTTTTGACCAAAAACCTTTCTGAAATAGGTGGGGAAAAGGTATAGCTTAAATTTGAGAAGGAAGTGAGAGCTACTATGCTTTTACTAATTAGCGGCATAACACTTGGTCAACAGCATCTGCCTACTGGACACATTTCAGTTCTTTTGTCAGGGTTTGGTTTTGGAGCATTACTGTCTCTCTTAACTTTGCCTTTGAACCCAGAATGATTTTTTCTGTTTGCTTTTTTGGGTAGGATGGGGAACTTGAGAGGGTGGGTGGACTCAAATTTTTTTCAATCTAAACAGCTTTAAACACTTTCAGAATTTCCTATCTTTCTCTGATTTCTGTCTTGGCTTCTTAGGCCTCTCTCCAGCTGGACAAGAAACAGTAGATGCAAATCTGCAGAAACTCACACAACTTGTAAATAAGGAGTCCAACTTGATTGAAAAGGTCAAGTTTACTTCAATCATTTTATAGTAGTTTAGTATTTTATTTTCTGCAGCTAATATTGTAATTTGGGTAATACATTAACTTTACCTTTCTCATTTTTTCAAGACTTTACTTTTCAGAAAACTGTTTATACTTTTACTAAAGCTATATGTAGCATACTATTTTGAGGCCAATAGTGGCTAAATTACTTTGGTGAAAAGATCAGATAATGGTATTGGGTTTACTTTTACCACATAGTTTATATTTAAATTAAGAAACCCAAATGATTGGCTTTAAAAAACAAACACAACAAAAACATTTCTTGCTTGCTTCCCTGTGTCTCCGAAGGTTGACTTTTTTGACCTTATGAGCACCTGGCTCATCCTTTCTAATAACAGTACCATGATCTCTTTTTCTTTCTTCCACATGAACTGTTTTATTTTTTCTCCTTCCCCTTGCTCTCTGTTCTCAATGTAGTCTATAGTTTCACCAGTGTAGATATTTTGCCACTTTAGGGTCACGAGAAAAATGTTGGGGAACTGGATAAGGGAGAGAACCAACAATAGAAATTGTTGTTCAAAGGTGATTCTAATTGGAGAAATACAGGAGGTTGCACATTTTTTCCCAAGTATCTGATAAGCTTGCTTTTTTTCTGATACATTTGAATAATACTTCATTATTTTACCAATTAATGGGGCAATGAGGCCTAATGATACTGGCTGACAGTTTTTGAGGTCTGGCGCTATGCTCTGTGAGCTTTCTGTGCGTTATCTCATTTAAACCTCACAACAGCTCTGTGTAGGGAGGAGGCCACCCATTTACAGATGAAGATACTGAAGCTTTGAGAGTAGCTTATGTTCACCTGCCCAAGGTCATTCAGCTGGCAAAAAATGGAAAGGGACTGTGACCTCTAGTCATAGGACTCTAGTATGAACTCTGTGGTTAGAACTCTGTGGTTTTTCTGCTCAGCAGTCAGCCTAGCTCATGAATGAGATCAGGAGTCATTCCGGTCATACTAGTAGTCAGGCTTGGCACTGCCATTCTCTGGGATGACCTTCTGGTCTTTTCGTAGTATGTCATGTGTTATAATTTGTGAAGTGAGTAAAACTGGGTGGTAAAACTGTAAGAGTTCATGACTGTTGAAATATTGGTGAGCTTAGTTAAAGCCTAGTCTGCCTCAATTCCTAGCTGTCCAATAAATCGTGAGAGGAAATATATTCAGTGTTAAGTGTGGATAAAGGAAAGGTCACCTGTTTGCTAGGTGAAGGCTATCTAATACAGTTTCTATTTTCTGTATATGGCAAATTCATGACAGATATGGAAAAGGAACTATAAAATACTTGCATGTGCAGATGGTGAAACAAAGAGGCCTTGTATAGACCACTTTGTATTCTTCCATCTCAGGTTCATCATTCTGTAAAGTTCCCGACCTGTTTCCGTCAGATGTGTCCCCACTTCCACCCCTACTCAGTCATGCCTGCTCATCAGTGGAGATTGTGTGGGTCACTGTTTGCTACAAGACAAAGAGTATCAAATCCTATTTGCCACCATTGTTCACAAATTGAACAGAAAATCGAGAGCTTGAAAAAAGAGTTATGACTGAGGAACTTAGTACCCTACAAATCCTGTTTACCTCTACTGAAACATTTCCTCTGTTCTTTATACAAGCATCTTTAGGAGATTAGAGAGAGTTTCAAATGTTTTGCACATATGCAAAACTTGAAAAAAGCCTGCCTATCAAGTGGGAAATAGCATACAATTTTGTTTTTGATGGTAGCTACCTGCAGGTCTTGTATGAAGTTAAGCCAGCCATGAACTCAACACAAGAACCTGAATCTTGCACTTGGTTTGTGGTGTATTCTGATTAAAGATAGTTTTCTAAGATCTGACTCAGTTGTAAATAATCCCTGTCCTGGTGTGTTCAGGGTTTCTGATGTGCTTCTCTTTGGAGTAAATCTGAACTTCTTGGATATGTTCTTAGTATGCTTCGTATTAGTTTATTTCTTTAAGTTAGGTTTACAACTGATCTAGCATTTGGAAGACCTCTGGATTAGGTTTAAAACAGTTGTTCCCAACCTATTTTGGCATCAGGGACTGGTTTCATGGAAGACAATTTTTCCATGGATGGGCGTGGAAGGATGGTTTCAGGTTTCAAGTGCATTACATTTATTGTACACTTTATTTCTATTATTACATTGTGATGTATAATGAAATAATTATACAACTCATCATAATACAAAACCAGTGGAAGCCCTGGGCATGTTTTCCTGCAACTAGATAGTCCCATCTGGGGGTGATAGGAGGCAGTGACACCCAAAGGGTGTTGCTTATGTCCAGTCTACACTGTAATCCAAATTACTCTGTAATTTTTGTTGCTGTCACTGCAGAAAACTCTGCATCACAAAGATAGGATGTTGGAAATAGAAGCAGGGTTTCAGTGCTAGTCTGATGGGAGGCGGAGCTCAGGTAGTAATGCTAGCGATGGGGAGTAGCTGTAAATGCAGATTAAGCTTTGTTCCCTGGCCTGCCACTCACCTCCTGCTCTGTGACCTGGTTCCTATCAGGCCACAGACTGGCACCAGTCCATGTCCCAGAGACTGGGGACTCCTGGTTTAAAAAATCCATCCTTCTTTCTGCCTCTTCTCGTACCTTCCTTTGATCTATGTATTCTTAGCTTAAAAAAGATTGTCTTTTTGAGTAGAGTATAGGCCACTTTCATTGAGGCAAAGAGGCACAATAATAGTGCTGCAATAAGAAGACATGGGTCCAAGTTTCAGCTCTTATACCAGCTTTAACCTTTCTTAACCTCGTGTCGCTTCTCTGTCTGCCTTCTCTCTATAGTGTGTTGGTAATATTGAATGAGGTAGTAACATGAACATACTTTGTAAATATAGAACTTAGTGTAACAGAAGTATTTTACACTGCTAGAGGACCTCTTCAACTAAGTCATGCTATGGGTGAGTTCAACAGAATATTTATTTTGTAGAATTACTATAATCTTGTGAAGGTAACAAGGATGAGCCACATTGCTTTTTTAGATACTAAGTTAGCTGGTATTTGAGGTATGACATTTAGAATTCTTGAGAGATTATTTGCAAGAAAAACTCCAGAAACATATGGCTCTGTGCTCTTCTGGGCTATAGTTTGGATTGGGAGGCCACAGTCCACATAAGTGGTGCCATTGCATTAGTCAGATGTATCTTTTGTACTTTCTACAGATGGATGACAATCTTCGCCAAAGCCCTCAGCTTCCTCCTCGGAAACTGCCAACGCTTAAATTGACTCCAGCGGAAGAAGAAAGTAATTCCTTCCAGCGGCTGTCACCCTAGCAGTCATCATGCTCGTGACCCAAGTCAGATGATTTTTGCAGTAATCTCTCACACAGGATGTGTGAATGCAAAGAGAAAATACTGTAATTGGTATAAGGACGACTCTAAAACAAAAGGAACTTTCTATGACATCTATTTTTTTTATTATTAGGAAGCTTATATTCTAGTTTGGCAATGTATTTTAAATAATATCAAAGTGAATGCTATTGAACTAAGTGGGTGGGGGGAAGAAAACACATTGTACTGTATACAAAACAGCACTGCCTTAATCTTGGCAGATTTTTGCCTTTGGTTCACATGCTGCTGACCAAAAGCTATAATTCTGTTCTGAATGTGCACTCTTAATTTATTTACTTAGTTAATTTATTCAGTTTACTAACTTAGTTTGTGTAGACTAGTCTCAACACCTAACATGTGGCTCTTTGGCTGAAGCTGTTTTCTTCTGTTTGAAAATCTGATGCCTATTTTAGGAACTAGGAAAAAAAATTACTTTCATAGAAAAGCCTGCTTTTAAAAAGTGATGAGGAATGTGCTTTTTAATTATGCTCTCATAAGTCTAACCTTTTGGGGGTTTAGTAGCACATATATAAATATGAAAGACAGTTATATACAATATTCATCTGATGATATGCACTTCAGTATAACATTAGTATTTGCAGTGTGTTCAGTATAGAATAGCAAGGGCTGTTTTAATTTACTGGGTGAATGTGGCAGCTTTAGACCTATGTCTTTGTACTTCTTTAATTCTTGTTGTCTTTCTTGTATTGATTCCAGGAGAACTGATTGTATTGGTCATCGTTATTAAGCTAGGCTGTAAAATCTTATTGAAATTTGCCAGTTGTTAGGCACTACTCAGGAGAAGTCCATGGCCAAGGTAATAGAAATACCTACTGTGCATCTGGTCCAAGTTCTCTGTACTCAGCTAAGGCCAGTATTCTTTTACAAGAAGCTTATCATGTAATCAAAAGCATTCTGGCAACCAATTATTTTCCATATATTTTAACTACAGTTGAAGGAGCCAAAGGAATAAACAGAGATAGCAGATTTTTAAGAATATTTTCTGTTTATTGGTTGCTGAACTGTTAAAGGATTTCCTGGGTGGTAATTTTGCTTATAATAGAAATTTGCTTATGTTAGTGGTTGAGATGCTTCTGTTCTCCTAAAACTACTTTGGGGTTGTTTTTTTTTTAACTATAGGACCATGTTTTTGATTCATATCTTAAAAGATTACTATGGTGCTCAGCAAATCTTATCAAGTCCTGCAGAAGCCCATATGTTAAAAAAAACAAGCTTTGTAGTCAAGAGACTCATCTAATTTGAGCTGAGTGGAACTCAGCTGTATTTGACAAATTCCTCCAAATTTGTTCTACATTGAGGTAGCTATTTATATAGGAGTCTTTAAGTCATTGTAAGTTGTCTTTTTTAGGGTTTGTTTTTTTGTTTGACGTTTTAACTAAATGAGAAACAAGGCAGTCTTCAAAATCTTGGTCATCTTTTTGGATGAATTTAGGGAAAGTACTTAATGAATTGTACAACAATTATTTCTACAACAGCTGTGTGTAGGGTGTGTGTGTGTATGAGTGTGTGAGAGTGAGTTCATCTTCAAAGGCAGGTTATTAGATTCTAGCAATCTGACATCTGTGAATACTTTATATTGACAATCATGACCATGAGGCTTTATTGTCCTTTAGGATGAATGTATATTAGAGAAAGGTAGTTAGCACGTTAGTCAGACATCTGTTTATGCTTTAATCAGGGCTAGTCATTTGCAATTATGATTTATATTAGACCCTTCAAAAAAGCATTTGAAATGACTTACCAGTTGTAAAACAGGACAGTTATAACTAGTTTTTGAAAAAAATAAAAAATCCATAGTAACACTAACAGATTCTAAAATTGAGTGGTAAATTTAACCCCAAGTTTCTCCCTGGGCAAAGTCAAAAGATAATGCTAGGTTATGTAAATTTTTCTTTCAAGAAAACAGTGTCCATGAAGAAGAAAATGTGTTGAATGTTTTATAAGAATATGGAGCTCACGTTCTTAAACTACACAGAGTTCAACCAAGAATCATACTGTAATATTTCATGTACTAAGTTTTCATCAGAAGAGGTCCTTTTAGAATAACAAGTATTTGTCTTGTTTAATGGAATGAATGACAATAAATATGATTTATTTGCTTTGTGGTCAGCCCCGTTTCAAACTGCCTATAGCCTTGCATTATAATGTATAATCCTTAATGTTTCCAGACTACCTTTTCTAAAATGCAAAATGTAATTCAGATGACAATTTACATATTGAGTAAAACTCTTGGAAAGGAACAGGTGCTCAGACTAGACAGATGGCTTAGGCTCAGCCTGTCAGGGTATGTTCTGGATAAAGTTTGAATGTGTCGGGATAAATGGTCCACAGTCTTAAACAAAATACTGAGAGTCACTGTCTTTTGGAACTTGTGATGAAGGATAACATGATAAAAGCGAATATCTTGTGTTTGTTTTTTTGGTGGTATAGGATTAGACAAGTTGGTCAAATAATCCCCTCAAAATGAAGACCCTCATCAATAAACTGCCATCAATCATCCATAGAACTGAGTACTTAACTAACTCTGAAGAAACTGTCAGGAATATTGAGGGTGGCCATTCCTTCAAAACTGTGTTTTGAGCATACAAAGGGTTGACATTAAAAAACAAATTTCAGCCGGGCTCGGTGGCTCAGCCTGTAATCCCGTGCCTTTGGGAGGCTGAGGTGGGTGG